GCGACGGGGGCGAGTTCAATGCACAAATCCAAGCCACAGCAGCCATTAAGCAGCAGAGCAGATCTCATCTGCTGGAGAGAGACTGGAGGGCGATGGGGAGAGAGGTCGGGAGTGGCGAGCGAGGCTGACAACTGTCAGAATTTAATGGCGGCTTCAATTTTTATAACCAAAGCACGACTACCGTCAACAGCAACTTGCAACAGCAGCAACAGAGGCAGCAGCGAGCAGGCATTCATCAGAGTCAAGTTCAAGTTTGAGGCAAAGAGATTATGTGCAGCCAATCTCTCTTGGGCAAGACTTGAAAATGCAAACGAGTCGCAAAACGCTGGTCAAAATGCAGATTTGAAAGGCACGATATGGCGAGGGGCAGAGGGTTGGGCGGCAGAGCAAACGGTTTGTCTGTGTGCAGCATGCAACAAGAGTTCCCACAGTTTCGCTGCTGCGGCTGCTGCGGCTGCTGCGGTTGCTCTTTGGCAACGCCTTCAAAAGCTGATGACGTTGTAAGAGTTGAAGTCGTAGCAGCAGTTGCTGATGATGCCACAGCCTCCAAACTCCAACTCCAGCTCATATGCATGCCAGACTCTCAGCGCTTGGCTCCATCATCTTTTTTTTTTTTTTTTGTTTCTTGCAGCTCTCGTCCTCTCGTCTTATCTCACAAAATTTGATCAACGTTTTCGCAATTCGGGAGCTCCGCCCCGAAGGTATTTTCCATAAATATTCTTGGGCAACGTATTTTGTTTTTGGCTTTTTAGCTTTTTACTTTTATTAGCCATTTGCTGTTGTTGTTGTTGTTGTTGCTACAAATAAATTAAAATTATGCATGCTTAGGCATGGGAACGGCTTTTTTTTCTCTCTCTCTCTGTTTAGCTTTGGTCTCATGGGAAAGTCGCCTTCAAATAAATAAATTTAAGTTCGGTTTATTTTTATGTGTGGGTGTTGCAGCTAAACAGGCTGTAAAATGCGAAGTACTTCAGTTTAGTTGACTTCAATAATAACTAGCTGTTAATAAATACATACATACATATATATACATATAAATGTAGGGTAATGCATTGCATAAGAGTTGAAGGCATAAACACATTTGTCAAAAACGAACTTAGTTTAAGAGACAAATATACTATTTTATAATTATATTAATAACATTATATCAATTAAAAAATATAAAATACAAAAATTAAATATAAATAATAATAATAGAAATTTTAGAGAGTTTATTTATGTTAATAAAATTTATATTTATATATATTTTTTTTAATTCAAAGCAAATATACCAAAAAAAAAAAAAAAATTAAAATAAATATATAACAAAATAATACATACATATATAAATAAAAATAATATTTATAATGATAATTTGGAAAAATATAAGCATTTTATATAAAGTTTATATAATATTTAAGTACAATATATAGATCATTAAAATAATATATAAAAATAAATAAATACAAAAATAATACATATATAATTGAAAATAATATATATAATGGTAATTTAAAAAAAAAGTTGTATAAACAAAAAAAAAGGTGTTCAAGTTTATATAATATTTATTTCTAACTTTAACTAAAAAGAATCTATTTTCTTAATTTAACGCCAATTCATATAAATTTATATAACATTTTCATTAAATTAATAAGCTTATGTCTTAGTTTAATATATGCTCTTTAAAGCTTAACCTTTTTTATTTAATTTGTATTATTTAGTTGAAACAATGTTTAATTATGATATTCATAAAAATTTCGTCAATATCCATATTATATATAATACCTTCATATAAGCTTGCAACAGTTTTCTGTAGAATATCATTCCAATTACTTCATATGCAAACATTCCTCTACACAAATTGAGTTTGATTGAACAATTGAACTGTGTGTAGCTGTTTGCCTTGACTGTAATATCCGTTACATTCATCTGAGGAATTCACAATGGATTTCAGGTAGCAAGCATATTATGCGTATCAGTCGAGCCGCTCAAATTGCTACTGCAGCTACTACGTAAAAATGACGTGAAACTCATCTTCATTTATCATTTTGAATAATAATCAAATCATAAAAGCGACGAATGAGCCAACGCGTCAAAGGCGACGGCAACGGCGACGACGACGGCTAAGGTAAAGGCGTCAGCTGCAGTCATTCAGGCTGTCAGGCGAACAGACAATCAGACAATAGATGGCCAAGAAAGGGGAGCTATCTGAGCTGAAGAAAGAAGTTTCGAACGCGCGGACTGCAATCAGTGCTGAATGAAACGAACTTTGGGTTGGGTTATTAAAAAAGAATTTGCATAAAAGGCACGAGCTCTCATTTTCTTCACCACAAGGATTAAGCCATAAATAACTGGGCGGTCGGCCAAGAGATAGAGAGAGAAAGAGAGAGAGAGAGAGTGTGAAGCCAGTTCCTATGAAATTATATTCAAATTAGTTTGAAGTTTTGCCGTCCCATAATTATGACAAACACAAAGCACACTCGAGAGCACTTGAGATTATGCTAAATGCCAAATGGATGAGGTGTGCTGCCAGCCACAGATGTAGATGTAGACGATGCCTCAGAGAAGTCTCAGAGATTTTGAGCTCTCTGCTTCGTCTTTGAGGCTGGGTGCAGTGGCTGCCACAGCGGCGCTCATCAATTATCCACGTGCTTACAGCTCCAGCAATTTGTTAGATGTTGTCTATGGCTTTGGCTTTTGAGAGAGTGAGAGAGAGAGAGAAAGAGAGGGAGAGAGAGGGAGAGGGAGTGAGCGAGGAGGTGCGCACTTTTGACACCTTTTGCATGCCACAGTCAGGGGCTTTACAGAGGCTGGGCCACAGCCAACACCTCTTGACGTGATTATAACAGTTTTACGGTTAGTTATTAATGATTCGCTATTCAATAGACACAATGAAGCAATTCCCTCAAACTCTTTGACTCGGCGGCAAACATGATAATTAGCATGCGCCTCACAATTACTCTATCCAACTGAAATGATTGGTATGAGGAAATTTCGACTGAATTATCTCAGATTCTTTATGGAGAAAGTGCAAAAGCTTTAATTAATTGTTGGAGTATAATAATCCAAGAAATTAATGTAGATCTTCTTTGTGAAGTCTTGTTGAGTCTTTTTTTTATCATTACAGAGAATGGCGAATTAGATGAAGCCGAAAATGAGATGGAGTATAGATATGTAGTAGTCGTATGTTAGTAAGACATAGACAGAAAGATATAGGTAAATAAAAAAAGGCTAAGGGAACAGGAAGATAACTTATAATATAACAACAAGCGATGTGACCGAAAAGAGCGACATAGAAGGAGGAAGAAAAAATAAGAGTTTGAGAGTCATATACTAAAGAGAGAGGAAGAAAGAAAATGAAATGTATGCGACCAATGGGTAGAGTCTTGAAAAAAGGCAAGAGAGGCAAGTTGGGACAAACAGAGACAGAGAGCGTGAAAAAGAGATAAACGTATACGGATAGAAAATGCAAAGTATGGATAGAGAAAGAGGGAAAGATAATGCGAAAAGCAAAGAATACATATATACATAGGAGAGAGAGAGACAGCCAGAAACAGAGAGAGAGTGAGACACTAAAAAGAAAATAAGAAGGATAGTAAATAGAGTTGAGAAAACCTTGGTCCATATATATATATATTTATGAAATGAATAAAATAAAATAATTAAATGTAGCTCAATGCCAATGCCAAATCCAAATTAAATTATTATAAAATAAGAAATCTTTTTGTAGAAATGGCTCCAACTAACTTAATTACTGAATGAGTTTTAATTGATGCTCACAAAAGTCAGCGAGCATTGCAAATAGTTTTTAGCCCTTGGGATACAATTAAATTTACATAACGATACGAATTTTATCGCTCTATATCTAAATATATGTGTATCTATATATACAGCTATATATCGTTATACATGCGATATTTATTTAAATGATATCATTTCCTGAGCTCGTTTCCGAAACACCTCGCGGCATGTTGTGCTATGTAAATTTAGGTGTGTGTGTGTGCGAGTGTGTGTGTGAGTGTGTGTGTGAGTGTGTGTGTGTTGTCCGTCAACAATCAAGTCATTTATCAAAGGCAGAGCCAAATATTCAAAACATGGGCATTATGCATGCCATGCCATGCCATGTCAGCATGGAGCTGCTCTCGTTGCTTCTGTGAGCTTGGCCTAAACCAACAAAAATATAGAAATAAAAGCAGAAAATATTGCGTGCAGACATCGGCTAATAATTTTCATGAAGAAATTCAGGGGCAAACGCTGTGAGTGAATGGAAGATGAGGAAACAGAAGTCGAGCAGACGATTGGAAGCGTTGGCGACCAACACTCAAATCATGAAATGATAATAATGATGTTTCATTCAGTCAGTCAGACGATAATGGGGGAGGAGTAGACGGAAGTGCAACAGCAACAGCAACAGCAGCAGGAGGAGGAGCGGCAGCAGCAGCAGTAGTAACCTGCTCGCTGATGAACCTAATGATAAGTATGAAAATGAGTTAAAGGCGCAGATGACACGACACAGTTAAGGCGAGAGAGGGAGCCCTCTCTATCATGCTCTCTCTCTCTCTCTCTTACTCACTGCCTCTCTTTCATTTATGAATGAACCTTAAAGGGCGCATTATAAATCAAAAGACACACACGTCGTTGTCTGGCCGTGGCTCACTGTTCGCTTGAAACAGGAACGTGACCAGACAGGAAATGGAAATGAGCGCACAATAAGCCGCCAAAAAGAGAGTCAGAGATATAAGCAAGGGCAGAGACTGACTGACTATTATTTAAGAGAAGTTACAAATGTCTATACATGTCATTATATATAGAAAGAAATCATCTAAATGTATTTCATCATCATTA